GACATGTGGTCAGTATCTATCTAATAAATTACTTTTGCCACCCCTAAGGCGATTAACACACTGCACCGCGCCCCGCGACGAAACGCGAGACATGGAATTACGCACGCGGCGGCGGAGACGCAGATCTGCGCCAACGCGCGGTACAATCTGCGCGGGGGCAGCTGTCTAGCAGCCCCGTGTCACTTAAAGTACTCGCTTCGCAGTTGATCGCCGTAGTGGTTGTATATGTAGCCGAGATCGTTCTTTGTGACAAGAATGGTTAATAATACGGAACTCATTCAGGACGCTGCAGTTATTCTGTCTATTTGGTTATTGTTTACTCAAATAAAAAGACACCGAGGATATTGGATACATTCCTTTTTACGAACCAGATCGATAAATTTATAATTTCAACTTCATTACAAAGATTTAAGAAAATATGAAGATAAATTTGGTCGATTTTTAATAGCAAATATAAATTTATCGACGTCGAGATCTATTGTAGAAGACTGAACACGTCCTGAAGCTTAAAAATCTGCGCGGTAGTGCGGAGCGCAGCGTGCCATACCCTGCGGTTTGCTGCGCCCCTCCGCAATGGGGCGCGGTAAAACCACGCGCGCCGGGTATGGCAGATGGTTGTCAGTGTGTTCGAGGGCGCGTGTTTTCCATACAAACTGAGGTATTTCAGTACAACGTTAAAAACACAGCTCCGCGCTCCGTCGCGTGGCGCGGTGCAGTGTGATAATCGCCTCAGAGCATTCTCCCTCCTGACCCCCGCATCTCGCGCTCATGCTTTGTAAATTCTGTAAAAAACCTTTTATTGTAGCATACGATTCTCAGTTAATAATAGATTCTTATGCATTATGATAATCTAAAATGAACATAGTCAATATAAGTAGTAGTAGAGATGCTTGAGAAAGAATTCGTCCAGGGAAGTGGTGCCACCTTACCTATTTCTGCCGCGAAGCTGTAATGTGAACATTATGATACCAATAACGAGACAAACAAGTCGTGCCCCTGGTAAGTGGCACGCTTGTCCATAGCAATTGCAGTGCAATTCAGAGCTTTAAATCGCAAAGGTATGAAGGCACCGCCACTGCGCCCGCCTCACCCCGAGAAATAAGTTCACAAGTCCCATGTGCCTGTAATTTCACCAGTATCCTTACCCTTCCAACCGAAACGCATTAATGCTCGCATTACTGCATGGCGGCAGAAATAGGTAAGGTGGAAGTACTTCGCTGGACCAACCCTTTTACTAGGAGCTCCACTGCTACTAAAAATGCATTATTGCTCTCTGTTTTTTTTTTCAGCCATTTGGGACTAGTCAACTTATCTCTCAGGGTGATGGGCGCAGTGAGTGGCAGTGCCCCTCAGGTGTTTGCGATTTAAACGTCTGAGTGGCACTACAACTGTAATGGACAGACGTGTCGCATATCATCAGGCGTACGACTTCTTCATCTCGTCAGTTGGGTATCGTAAAAAAAATAATAACAACTCTCGTGGTGTAATTAATAAACGACAATAAAAATAACTAAAATGACATAGAATAATAACAACCGCAGTCACCAAGACGATGTTTTGTTATATGGTCTATGATAACTACATACTTACACATTGTGAGAAAACACTATCGTCATTGTTTCGGAATGACTTATAATTTATTTTACACAAATTTTTCAACGATTATGTGATATTTAGATTTTGACCATTTTGATTGATAATTGTATACAATTTTCGTATTTTATAAAAGAAATGTTATTACATTTATAAGGCGAACGGCGAAGGAGGTGAAATTCCCTGCCTGCTTACTTATTCCGCGAATGCCTATTTACTATTATATTTATTATTATATAATGTCTATTCACTCTCGCCTTCCAAACACCCGAGTCATAGAACTTAGGACTTTTGAGCGCTAGAGTGAATAGGCATTATTTAGGTGTGCATGCCAAATTGTCGATCTCATCATCACTTTCCGTCAGGTGGGATGGAGATCAAATGACATTTTTTTTTGTTAAAAAATATTACATAGAAAATCACCACTTTGGTGCAATTACAGGCACAGGGCACAGGGGACTTGTGGGTGACGCGCGCAATGGCAGTGCCCATCACATTTTTGCGATTTAAAGTGGCATTGCAATTGTTATGGATAGGCGTGACGGTTACCACCAGGTACACGACTTGTTCGTCCCGTCACTTGGTAACATAAAAAAAAGAAAAAGGTTTTTTAATTACAAATTAAGTGCAATGTACTGAAATTAATTTTATTAGATTTACTAAAAAAAAAAAAACGTTCGTTAGACCAGGGGTAATGCACGTTTTAGATTTATGTTATAATCATATTTTTAAATGATATTGTAAATTATCACTAAATTGCAATTATGCAATCTTCCTTGAATAAATTTTGCTAATGTAATCGCAGTCAGACGTCCTATGTAGCGTTGGAGCGATGAAGTACAGAAAGACCTCAAGGACCTCGGTGCTAGTGACTAGAAAGAGCAAACTCAGAATCTGATATCGAGACCCACATAGGGCCACCGCACCATAGAAGTAGTTAAGTAAGTAATTAATCGCAGTTGGCTTACAAATACCTATCTCATCTATACTACGAATATCTATCTATACTACGCCGAAAGCGATTCCACCATACATAATTACAGAATACCGACAGATAACGATCACGCAGTCCGTCAGTCACGGTACAAATACAAAAAATAAGCATTCGATAATTCGAATAGCTGGCCCGGTGCGTGGTGCGATTGTCGTACGGTTTTTATTTTGATAAAATATTCCAACTCATGACACAGTGCTAACTTTGCTGGTGGTGGATGAGTTCAGGAAACTACAATAAAATGATTGTTTTACATCATTACAATAGTGCATATTAATTAGGTAAGGGTACTCTGGAATTCCTTTTGTTTTTTTTAGTTTACCGTTACGTGTTTATACTACACAATTATTTGAATAATCAAATTGGTTCGATGCTATTTATAAATTGACTAGACTAAGAATGGATGAAATAAATGTTAAAGTAAAAAAAATACTTACTTAACAATCGATTAGATTTTTATTGGCTTGTGCAAAGCACTAATAAAAAAATATATTTGTGTATAAGCCTATTAATAATTTAACATGACAGTACACGACATATCTAAGCAAATTTTTAAAAGAAAATAATTATTAAACAATTAATTAATTAAGAACTATATTAAAGTAAATTAAACTGAATTTAAGGTACAAGTAAGAATTAATTTATTGTTATTATAGTTTCCAAACTGATTCTTCGCTTAAAAAGTAGCGCGTATCGCATACTATCCTCACAAAAATATTGTCCACTTGCACTAAATTTAAGTATGTCTTAAATCAATGTTTAAATTGATAACATACATTTAACACAATGTCTCTGAAAGGGAATCTTTTGCAGTACAAGCACTGGTTTAAAAAGTTTTATGAAACATAAGTAGGTACTAAAGTTTAGTGCAAGTGGACATAAAACTTTATATTTTAACACAGGGCGCACGATGCTACGATACAAACACACGTTCCTATTCTATGTAACAATTCAAACTCGATTACAGTTTTCGATGCATCGAATGCTATCCGCGCCGGCATCAGTCAGTCGGCTCCGAACCTTCGTATCGGCACGACGTGACACTGTGTCGTAAGGCACACAGCCTGGCGAAAATCTTCAGTAGCCGGCCGTGCTTGGATAAGCTGGTTCCTGGACAAGTGACAGTGCGAGAGTGAGTGAACAAAATATATCACAAACTCTAATTTCCCATCACGACTTTGAAGACGATCCGCCAAAAAATTATTTGCCGAAAACTTTGCATTATATTTCAGGTAAGTTCTTGTTAATTACTTTTTATTGAAACATAACTACTGTTTTTTTTTCAATTAATAGGTACTTTTTATTTTATATTTATTTGACAAGGCCACTCCAATATTGAGATAAACTTTAGACATTAGACGATATCAATTTTTAGATTAGTAAGTCACAGTTTGTTGGCCACACATTGTATTACGAAGTTAGAAAATTAGAAGGGGTTGCTTTCAGTTAGTTTAGACTGAACATGACATCAATTAAAAGCAAAATATGTCTTCGTAAATGCAAAATATTAACAAGTTTTACTATTTCTACTGTCGCTTTCGAGCATGTAATTGTATGAGATAATTGATAATGAAAAACCAGTTTTCAAGGTTCGAATAAACTTGCGTTTTAGGTAGAATAGTTGGTTGTGAGTTTAATGTGTTTTTACTGATACTTCTTACCGTGTTTCTGCAAACAGGTTTAAATCGAACGACGTGACGACCAACATGTTGAATAATGACTGGTTGTTACTACCCTTTGTTTTTCTTGACTAGCAATTTAAAAATAATTTGTTGAAGATAATGTTCGTTCTTCAGTTATCGTGACATCAGTAAATGTTGCGATATCATAGGTTAATTCTTTGAAATAAGTAGTAAAACAGGGTAAACTAATTATGATATGCCACTGTATAGGTAATTAAATAATATAATTAAACATATTTATTATTTTCCCCGCTTTATTTGATTTTATAATTAGATACTCCGTAAATTTAAAAGTTACAAGAGTATTTTGGTTTTGGAGCCTTTTTAGGATTTGACAAGAAATTTGTAAAGTACAAGTTAAGGTTTTTGATTTTTTTGGTTAAACGTACCCTGGTCCTGTGATAGTGAGTGACATTTAGTTTCTTTGTTTTTGTGATGTAGGTATAAATGTTCATAGTTGCAGTTGCTTAGCAGTTGTTTTTAGTCCTTGTGTATAGTTAAAAGTAACATTTTTTTGAAATATTTCTTAATATTATATATTATAAGAGCGGCTTGTTACGTAAAAATCGTATTTTGTTGATTTAATGCAAAACAAGGTGATGATGATGAGTGAGACTAGAGCAGTATCTTGGAGGATGGCACAAACTAAAGGTAGCCTATACCCGGAAGTGGATGAGGGTTGGGCCGTGGGTGACGATGGTACAATAATATTTGAACGTTTTAAGCTGTGTGTGTTCTGTTACGCACTCAAACAAATATTCGGAAATAAACCACTTTTTTCTTTACCATTTCTTAGGAAAAACAATATGTTTTGTTGCAATTTAACGTTATCTATCACACGTATCACATTTTAAAAAAGTGTAATAAATTTTAATTCTTTACATTGATCATTTTAACATGCACTGTTTTATAATATATGAATTTCAAGACTCAACGTAAGTACATTATCCAAGGCGCTATTAGCGTAATAGAGGCGCTATTATAGCCATAATTAACCCCGACATCACCCCACCTTATCGTCTTTATTTTCTTAATTATTACTTTTATACTACAAACTTGTTCAGGAACGTGTACTCAAACATTTGTGCTACAAAGATTATTAAAAAAAATTGCCAATATGCGTTATAATTGGCACAAGAGTCGACAATCGCAGAACGGCTGCAGATCTCGCAATAGAGCATTCACATCGAGACGTAGTTTCTGTACTCCTGAAGCTACTTCACATTCATCTTCTTTAACAATCTCTATAGTCCAATTATTAAATGTTTAGCTTATTACAACTAAAAATAAAACTTAATTAACTACGATATTTTATTACAATTAAAAAATTTAAAAACAAATCACTCTTGACTAATTTTGTTGTTTAATGAGTATAATTAACTAAGCTTTATTTTTTTTTTTTTAATTTATTAAGGCTTTGGCAAAGCCATCAGCCTAAACATGAAATTTAACTATGTCTCTGTAAATATGGCCGCCACCTTAGAATAATAACGCATAGAAACCTAGCCCGCACACGCTAAGTGAGGCAAGTTAGAGGGTTCCAAACGCGTCCCAGGAGCGCGCGGGCTGTTAGTGCTCAAGGTCATATTGCACCGCGAACAGCTCCAAAATTTTTTGCTAAAAATGACGAAATGTGCGGTAAATGGGTGTAAAAATACAACAGACAAACAAAATAGACACTAACATCGCATTCCACAAGTAAGTAATGCGTTTCAACTCATATTCTTATGTAAATATTCACTAAAACAGAAAAATAATTTCGCGGCAACAAGATACGAAAGTGTTGCAAAGTAACGAATTTTTTTTCTCCCCATTTTGCTATTCTGTATCAAAATAATTATATTACGTAAATTTTAGTGGTGCCTGTAATTTCGATTTATTTGCGCATTTTGAACTAATATTTACTCGAATAAACATTAAATGTTTTCGTTAACTCCTGTAAGTGATTGGGACACTTAATTATTTTATAATACTTTTAACGGCTCTGCGTTCATGCTTTATTGAATAATTATTTATATTAATTTTATTTGAATTGGAGCACATATTGCAACAAATTTACAGTATATATTTGTTTCTACTATAGTGTTGGCACCACCAGTACAACTTTGATAGCTTATTATATGTCTTTCTTTTCGTAACTCAAGCGAAATATTTTATATTAAAATATTTTATTTTCTTAAAAGGGGAGCATTCTTAAGCGATTTTTTAATCTATTTTAACAGTTATTTTCTTTAATGTTTGCTTATGGCATTTTCGGTTTTAGGTTTCGAATATGGCACTTATTTCTAAATCCAAGATGGCGGGCGCGATTTTTCGAATAATGGTAAGTTGGGTATCGTTTTCGAGATGTTTGGGAATGTTCAATACAAATATGGGACTCATTTCTAAATCCAAGATGGCAAACACGACAGTTCAAACAAAAGCAATATTCGTAATGAGCACCCCCAAATACCTCGAAAACGATACCCAACTTGCCATTATTTGAAAAATCGTGCCCGCCATCTTGGATTTACAAATAGTGCCATATTCACATTGAGCATCCCCAAATACCTCGAAAATGATACCCACATAGCATTTTTTTGAAAAAATCGTGCCCGCCATCTTGGATTTACAAATGAGTGCCATATTCGTAATGAGCACCCCCAAGTACCTCGAAAATGATACCCATATTGCATTTATTTGAAAACTCGTGTCCGCCATCTTGGATTTAGAAATGAGTGCCATATTCG